AGAGAAACCCAAGGCCGGGCTCTCCCAGAGGTGGGGCTTTCTCAGGGTGGCTGTCAGAAGGATAGTGGGGGCTCGGGAGCTTCCTGGCCCCTTCCACCTCTCGAGGCGACAGCCTGGTGACTCACGTGGGGGTTAGGCGGGGAGACACGGCCACTTCTCGCTCTGACCTAAAGGAGGGCAGAGGCTAAGGGGATGCTTGATTCCTGTCTGTGGGCAACAAGGAAGGGGGGCAGGGGGCTGAGTGTCGGCAAGGATCCTCAGCAGGAGTGAAGAGCAGGGTGGGCGTTGAGCAGTGACAACTCTGAGTGGTTGCTGACATGCGACCCTATCTTGTCCATTGACTCTTCCCATCGCCTTGCAGCTCTGGATTATTGGGCTAGCTTACCTTACCACGCGGCAGATCCCACCAGACCTGCTGCCTTCCCGCTCACCAGCGTTTTTTGTCTGATCGTCAGGAGTCACTCTCCTCGGCCAGCTTGCTCCTGAGGTCAGGCTGGGTGGGGTCCTTGCTGCATGCTCCTGGCCATGGCCGCTCTCCTAACAGGTGGCTTTGGGCAGCAAGGTGAGAGCCCTTTGCCATGCGGACGAGGATTGCATCCAGGATTCAGCAGCTGGAGAAAAGAGGGCACCTTCTTTCCTGGTTTCAATTCCCTAGCCTAGAGCGGGGGGCTGAGCTCGAGCTAGTCCCTCATTTCAAGCACCACTCCCATGTCAACAGGACCCTGGGGCACGGGAGGTGGTCCTTGATTCAGACGCAGAGCATCTTCATGCCCACCAGGACCACCCACTTCCTCTGTGACCCTCAGGGGGAGAGCTGGTGGTGATGGATGAGCAGACCGCAGTTGGCGCAAGAGGTGGCAGGGAGACGTGCCATCTTGGCTCCCATTTAGAAGGTGGGTACCCTTCACCAATCAGCTGCCCTGGGGTGGGGGCTAATGCCCACCATTAACTTCGAGGACCACTTACGCACTGCCACAGAGTCAGTGCTGACTCATAGCACCCCTCTGTATGTTTCTGAAACCTTAACTGTTTACGGGAGTAGAAACCCCCGTCTTTCTCCTTCGGAGCCACTGGGGGCTTTGAACTGCTGACCATGTGGATCGCAGCCAAAATGGGGTACCACTTAACAGGAACTCAACCCCCACGATCTCGTTGAATATGTATAACCCTAGAGGAGCTATAGGGAGTCCTGGTGACATAGTGGGGTCTGCCTTGGGTTGCTAACCACAAGGTCAGCAGTTCAAAACCACCAGCCGCTCCACAGTGGAAAGAAGAGGCCTTCTACTCCCCTGAAGAGTGACAGTCTCAGAAACCCACAGACGCAGTTCTGCCCTGTCACAGGGTTGCTGTGGGTCAGCATTGACTCGATGGCAGCGAGATAGCCAGGAT